GCTGGTCTAAATCCTCTGCTGAGGTTCAACAGCAGCTTCAAGTCTGAAGTTGTTTGCATCGATCAAAAACTGTATTTAAGCTGCAGCTGAAGTCCTTGTTCGACTTTTAACCACATTTTGTCCTTTAAACTGGTTTTAAACTGCAGTGAAAGCGTCAAAGTTTAGCTTCTGGCATCCTCGGTTCTTCAGATGTTTCCGCTTTGACTCAACTGTCATTTGGTTTGAGTAAAGAAAAAGGAAAAACCAACCAGGCTAATGACTAAAGCTTGTTTTATATTTTACGTTTGAATACTTGAGTTGGAAAATGTAGAAACTTTAAGTCAACTTTCTTTAAGTTGGAGTAACGTTCACTTGATGGATGGACATTATTTGTTCTTTTGGTTGTGTTTCATCGGTTGAATCGGTTCATTTAAGTTGGTTCAGGTGAAAACGTCCACTTCCTGTTTACCTGCGTTACTTGGCGATCTCTGGCTGCCGCGCCGCGACCCCTCAGGCATGGTGTGATGATGTCACAGGAAGTAGAAACCTGCAGAGAAACAGGGAGAAAAGTCCAGTTAGCGTCTGTTTCCGAGAACAAAACCGGCCCAGAGCGACTTCAGTCCAAAACACTTCTACACACTGCTGGAGGGAGGAGAACCTCGAGGAACCGGTTGGGTTCTGGACCATCGAGGAACCTTCAGACCTACAAGTGGTTCCTTTCGAAAACATGCTCAGAAGTGTTCGCATAAGACCCGTTTTGCTTCCAGTTTTAACGTCTTATTGTTGTTGTTTCTATAAAACAAACATCAGACGGTACGACTGTTTTACATTCAGGCAAACAGGAATCTTCAATCTGTCCAAACAAACAGAACCAGCCTCTGAACCTGCATCAATATCTGTGGACTCCATAGTTTAATAAATGTGTCCTCGTGAGGAGTTTGAGGTTCTTTTTCCTCAAACGTTTCCGTCAACGTCACAGCAAAGAGCAAAGCTAACGCTGAGAGGAGGAAGAAGGAAAGTAGAAGAACAAAAACACGAGAAGAAGGAAAAGAAGAAGAAAAAATAGAAGCAGAAGAAGAAGAAGAAGAAGAAGGAAAAGAGGAGGAAGAAGAAAGTAGAAGAAGAAAAGTGGAAGAAGAAGAAGAAGGAGGAGGAGAGGAAGAAAAGAAAAAAGAAAAAGAAGCAGAAAGAATAGATCAGTTCTTTTGTGTGAAATGTGTGAGAACATATGTAATGTTTGGCTGCAGCACAGGAATGTGGAGTGTGTGTTACTGTTAGTGTGTGTGTGTGTGTGTGTGTGTGTGTGTGTGTGTGTGTGTGTGTGTTAACGGACTCCTACAGTCTCATTGATTCAGGTTTGACCCAATTAGTTCTTTGTACATAAACAGAGTTTCTGCAGCTGTCGACTGTAGAGCTGAAGGATGTGGGTCAGAGGGGAGGTCTGGGGAGTTTTGGGAGGGTTTGGGGAGGTTTGGGAAGGTTTGGGGAGGTTTGGGGGAGGTTTGAGGAGTTCTAGGGGAGGATTGGAAAGGTTTGGAGGAGGTTTGGAAAGGTTTGGGGGAGATTTGGGGAGGTTTGAGGAGGTTTTAGTAGGTCTGGGGAGGTTTGCAAAGGTTTTGGGGGAGGTTTGGAGGAGGTTTGGAAAAGTTTGTGGAGGCTTGGGGAGGTTTGGGGGAGGTTTAAGGAGGTCTAGGGGAGGTTTGAAAAGATCTGGGGGAGGTTTGAGAAGGTCTGGGGGATGATAGGGAGGTTTCAGGAGGTTTGCGCAGGTTTGAGGAGGTCTAGGGAGGTTGGGGGGATGTTTGGGGGAGGCAGAGTGTTGGATGGGGGAGTCGGGTGTCGGCAACATAAACCAGATGCCGACTCTGTCGCTGGTTTAAATCCTCTGAACACCTGCTGAGGTTCAACAGCAGCTTTAACTAATGATTCTCATCACTGGAGGTTGTTTTCTGGAAGATCAGCTGATGGGTCTGAAATGTCAGAAAACGTCAGAAAACGTCCTGTTTGATCCACAGAGGTTCAGGTTTGGTCCACAGGAGCTAAATTAATCTAGTTTTTCTGCAATATTTAATATCTGTAGTTTAACAAAACATGTAAAATTATAATAAATTAATCAAAGAATTGCAGGTGAATACTGATGGAACACATGAATCTGTAAACTCCAGGTCCTGCAGTAGGAAAAAGGTTTTAAACCAGTTTAGGAACCAACTCATCTTATAACTTGGACAGAAAACCTCCCAGATGTGCTCAACATCTGGTGAGGAGCAGATATTATAGTCAGAGGAGGTTTAACAGGTTGACCTGAACCTGTCTCACCACAGTTCACATCTGGACTCTGATAACCGACGTCCAGCGTCTTTACTTCCTTTCCGTCGCTCTGACAGAAGCTCAGGACGAATCCGGAGCATCGGAGCGTGAAGGACGAACAAACGTGGCCTCAGGAAGCCGAGCGCCAGTTACAGAGAAAACAGAGCTGGACCCTGAAGCGAACACGAGGCGGTGGAGGGAGTCCAGCGCCGCGGTTAACCAGAACCGGAGTGACGGCGAGGTCAGACGCCGCTGAGCCTCCAGCGTTTCCTCGACACACTCGGATCCGTGACGTCCACACACAGGTGGAACTCATAAACGTGACTCTGAACGAGCCGGTGTCAGGTTCTGGTCAAGTTCAGTTCGGTTCTGATGAACTGAACCACAGGAATCTGCATCAGCTGTCGTTTCTGCTGCTGAAAACCACCGCGGCTGGTGCACTGTAAAAAATGAACGTTTAACTGATTTTTACAGTTAGTTTAAAGATTTTAACTGTTTTGTTAAATTACAGGAAAAAAAAGAATTAATTTACTCGTTATGCTCACATAAAATAAAATCTGTATTTTTACAGAAAAAGTAAAATAAAAATATGTGCCGTATATATTTTTTTCTGTTTTATTAGTTTTCAGGTTTAATATTTTGTAAAATCACAGAAAAAGAAAAGCATGAATTTAAATGTTGGGGAAAAAAACAGGCCTTAACTGTAAATAATGTTCACATACATAAAAAATATAAAACAACAACTAACTTTTAAAAAAGTATGTTAACATATATATTCACAGTTTTTACAGTTTTTTAACCTTTTTTTGCCTCCTGCTGGCAGAGTTTGAGTTTTTTTAAAGATTTTTTAAAACTATATTTACATAAAATCTCACCTCAAGAAAATCTGTTAAATGTCTAAAAACAAATGTGATTTCTTTTGTCGGAGTTAAACTCCGTCATTATTTGTTCATTTTAACTTTTAAACTGATATTTTCAGTCTCGTGTCTTTAATGGATTTCTGCTGCTTTTATTGGTTTAATGTTTGATTTTTATTTCATATTAATTCTTCGTTTCGTTCCTGTTTTACCTGTTTTAATATTTTATTTTCTTTTATTTGACCTTAAAATATGATTTTAGTGTTTTTATAATGTTGCTGCCTGTTTGATAACATGACGGTTGTTTTATTAATAAACAGGATTCAGCTTCAAAGCTACAAAGAAAAAATAACAAGAAGAAGATTTTAGCCACGTCTGATGGACACGTTCATCTTCCAGAAGAGTTTCTGGGGAAACACGCTGTCATCTTCACCAGCTGATGTGGTGAATTTAAAACTTTTAAATATCATCCAGCAGCTCGTTTGCATTTTCTGGAGGTTTCCACGACTTTAAACTGAGTTTTCGCCTTAAAATTCAGAGATGAAATTTCAAAGATGCAGTTTTATTCTCAACAAACAGATCCCACTGACAGACTGTAAACACACACACACACACCTACACACACACACAGACACACACGCGTCTGTCAGTGTGTGTGTTCGTCGCCTCATCATCACCTGCCGAAGCATTTCCAGGTGTTTCTGCCTCAAACACACCTCGGTGACGACAGCGTGTGTGTAGGTGTGTTATTGATGCTGCCTCTGGTTGCCGTGACAACCGGCCACCGGCGGCATTAAATCAAACAGAGACGTCGAACGCCGTCCAGCTGCTGCTTCGCTCCTGAACAGAAACTACATCAGCTCCCAGAATGCACCGCGGAGGTCAGAGGTCAGAGGTCAGCTGACTCCTCCACCGTCTGAACATCTGCTTCAGAGTCAAACCAGAACTCACCAGAACCAGAACTCACAGCTTCTATTCTCTCATTTAGAACTGTTTCCTGCATATTTTTTTTTATTCATTTTTCATATTCTGTTTGCACTACTCTCCTTGTTTGCACTATTTCTTATCCTTATATTTATATGTACATTTTTTATTTTTATTTTTTTTTCATTTTTTATTTTTTCCTGTCTCATATATGTGTACCTCTGTTGAATGCTGCTACCAACGATGTGAATTTCTCCACTGTGAGGTAAATAAAGGCATATCTTATCTTATCTTATCTTATCTTATCTTATCTTATATCAACAGTCTGACAGAACGACACATGACAACTGTTTCATGACCAAACTTTATGTCAACGTCTTGTTAAAAGAGTCAAATGTTTTTACTGTGAAGCTGCTAAATCAGTGACAACAGCAAGAATCTGCTGCTAATTCTAAATGATACCAAGCGTAATATGAGGCTTTTTACATGTAAATTAAAAGTTTAACGTGAAAAACGTATGTTGAAATGTAAAATTATTGGATTTACCCTCAAACAAAGTGAAGCAATTATAATTTTTAATGATTTTAAGTATGTTAGGTGTAATTTTACATTAAAATCTGGTTTATTTGGCAAAACTTTCATTTTAAAAGTATTTTCTTCTGTAAATGTCAGTGGATTCACCTTCAACTACATTTAACACCAACAATAAATAATTACAGTTAATTTTAGAGCTTATCAAGTTTTTTCCTGTAACTTCACACATAAATCCAGCAGGTTTCATATAGTTTTCATGTTATTTTACATCAGAAATGTGGATTTTTGTAGTTTTTTTGATATTTTTTGTGTTTTTCCAACATGTGGAAAAGAAGCTGTCAAATAAAAGGAGAAATCAGGTTAAATTCCGGCTGTTTGTTGTTGTTTTGACGGGTTCAATCTAAACCTGCTGCGTTCGGCCTCGACGGCGGAATCGATATTTATTGCGTTTGGGCTCGAAGCTGCAGGACGGAAAAGTAAAACAGAGAAAATAGAGATTGATGGCAGCAATCAGCCATTCTGGAAATAATGTGAGTTATTGGTGAGAGTGGACGAGCTGGACTGAAGCCTGAGGACGGAGCTCCGTCTCCTCAATGTTTACGTCGTCGTGTTTACATGACATCAGCGACGCCTTCGGCCCTCAGCGTCGCCTCGCAGGCTGCACCCATCACATGTTCTGCTTTAGTCCAGCGTTCGACGCGACGCTGCAGGAAGTGTGTCTCATCTGGGGCATGAACACCGGCTCCACATTGGGCTTTTGTCTCTCTCGGTCCTCAGAGGAACAATATTAAATCTGAAATGTGCTTAAGTGACACGAAACAGTTTGTTGAAAACCAGACGGCGGCTCTGAGGTGCAGCGGACGGCGTGGAGCGACTCACAGGTGGTGGGTTCCAGTCTCATGATGAAACTTAAACTAAACAAACA